AATAGTGTATCATTATATTCAAAGTTTTAGTTGTCACATCAAGTTCATTACTTAACCATTCTAGATAAGCATCTGAACTACTTTTAAGCATGTGGTAAGCAATTAGAATATTTTTCATCATCTGGCAGAAACATCATCATCTCCATGTTCTAGTTGTATTAACTACGATGATAGTGAAATGACAAGTAGTATCCATATCCGAGGAGGGTGGCAATTGCAATCAATGTACATCGAGCTGGGCAATCCCAAACACACGCCCGTACTTCTCTCGACAGAGCATGTACAAGGCAACCATTCCAACCATATGACCAAGGCCCGAAATGACCTGACCACCCCGGGGAACGCACCCTATGAGGCCCGTCCCGCGAACCAGCGATGGGTTCCCCTCATAAGTTTGGTCCATGGACATTCCCCACCCAAAAACAATCGCTAGAATGGCTAGAGAAACACTTCGGTGAACGTTTTGCGCACCTTGGTCATAAGAAAGTACTAAGCTTCACGATCAACTATAACTCAGCCCCCTGTTATGTGTTCGGTACCTTCAAACTTGTCAAATGGCCACCAACGAACGGATCCTTAATCGACACAGGCGGATAAACGGGTGCGCAGAGCCCGGCCATGCGACACCCACCAACCATTCAGAAAATCCATTTTTCCTCTTCCCACCCAATCTCCAATTATAATCCATCTCCAAAACCATGTGATAGCAGTAACAATATAACCAGAACCTAATTTCTCGAGAGTGACAACCCATTAATCGAATTCTACCGTAAGTCCTATAGCATGGCATACTACATGATCCTATCATATTAGTAGGACTCATAGGATAATATATTTATGCAGGTGGGTTTCAGACAACTCCTACAACTTAATGCACACATATAGTAACAAGTTCTAAAAAATATGGGTTATGCACCGGGACTTGTCTGGGTAACTTATTAACACTAAGTTAGTTGGCTCCATCTTCGGGACATGATCTAACCATCTCCATCTTATGGACGTGGTCACATTACACTGGCTTCTGGTTCAACTCCATAGGCCATCAATCGATCCATCAACCACCAACGCACCTAAATGATATGCATAGATGAAATGCATGCTTTAGTCAAAAAAGCATAACAAGACATTTACAAACACTACAAGACAAGCAACACATCATCATGGTGAAGGGTAACTAAACGTTGGAGGTTCGACTCTCATCCTCTTCTAGCGACTTACTTGCGAGTTTACTAATATCAACCTAACACAAGGGAGCAAGACAACCATTTGCATTGAAACATACAAATGCAAGACAGAGCAAACACGCTAAGCATATAACCACTACAAAACATAGTTCAGTAAAACTTTACTCAGTCAACATGTGGCGCAAACAATATAGAAACATATTTTAAACAAGATTAAGCATTGAGTATACTTGATAGTTTAATTAACTACAAGCATGGAATAAAAAAAGGTGGTGCGCCAAACATCTCTTGTGGACATGACAAATTTATGGGTGATACATCTCAACTAAACAAAGCTATTGTACGAATGTCATAATTTCTAGATAAGCAGATTATTTACTACCAGTTAATTAAGATTTAATGGTAATAAAAGCATGTGACATATGATAAATCAATAACTCAGTAAATAAACATCCATTGGTCATAACATTTTTACCACACCACAAGCATGCAACAAGTAACCTGCTATAAAAATTTTATAGCAATTGGATTCATATAACAGCAGGTATGAATTTAGCATTAAAAAGCATTGGTAAATATCTATAGTAAAAATTTTGTACTAAATCATGTGATATTATTGTTCTAATGCATAGATCTATTCACAAGAATTTCGAAACATCTTTATTTTCTTTTTTACGATTTTTCTACTATTTACTAGGAATTTTAGAGGTTTCATCCTGTGTACACATAAAAAGAGAAAGAGAAAATCATAAAAGACAAACAATTCGCACCGAGATCCCTGAGCTTTTCATGAATCAACCTGCGGTATAAGAACACTATTTGACACTATTCATATGAGCCACGGATTTGCATGGGGAACCCTGGAAACGTTTCTATTCATGCACGAGGTCCTTCTCCTTCTTCTCTCGTACAGAGCCGCGCGGGGAGCAGGGAAGCGGCCGTTTTGGCTCGGCGAGCCGCCGGCGAGGGCGAGGGCAGTGCGGGGGGGAATCAGCGGCCCTGGCCTCAGGTGCAGGAGGCCACTCCCGGCCGCAGCCCGCAGTGGCGGGGCCGCGCGCGGCAGCGGGTGCAGCGGCGGCGGCGGAGCGGCCGGCAGGCAAAGGGCGCGGAGGGGCGCGGCGGCTCTCCTGGGTGCGGTTGGCTGCGCAGCGGCGGAGCGCGCACGCGAGGAGGAGTTCGCGGGGCGGTGCGGCGGACACAGAGGCCCAGCATGGCTGGCCGCATGCGCGTGCTCATGCTGCAGCGGCGGCGGTGGCGCAGCGGGCGGCTCCCGGCTCGGCCGAGGTGAGCCGGGCGGAGAGGTGGACGAGACTGAGGCGGTGGTGCACGCGGTGGGGCGTGAGGGAGCTCGGAGGCAGAGGAACAAGCGGCAGTTGCGGGAGCTCCCCCGGTGGCCATGGCGAGTGGCGCGAGCGGCAGAGCGAGGGAGAGGGAGATGGAGCGCGAGGACGAGCAAGGTGACCTCGGCGTGCAGAAGAAGGCAGGGAGAGGGAGCAGCGCGGCGTGGGCGACATGGGCGCGAGCAGGGGCGCGACGTGGGCGAGGCAGGGCATGGGTGCGGCCAGGGGCAGAGGTCATGGGCGCGGCCAGGCTCATGTGCACGACTTGGGCGCATGGTACCGAAGATTCGGTCAAGAATTGGGCCCACGTCCTATACAAAATATATTCACAGCGCAGAGGACTCCAACTTTGCTTAAGGAAGTTTAGTCATTAACTGCACAGATTAGGAGATAAGAGACGCCAAAGATTGCAATGTCAGTGGACTTCCGACAAAAAGTTTAAGACGCCAAAGATTCCAATGTCAGTGGACTTCCGACACTTAAGAAAAGTTTAGAAAAGTTTCCAAGTCCCTTAATGAAACAGCATTTTATTGAAACTTTGAAGCACTAATTACTCTATCAATCAATCAAACTAGACACAAACAAGTACCCTACCATGAAGCACACAACTTATACTAGGTTCCTTATACAAACGTATTTTAGAGTTTATGAATAAATTAGTTATTTAATCAGCCTCCAACGAGCTATCAAGCAATTATAACCGATTAGGTTTTTTGACATTCGAAACATGTTCTACACATTTTTCCAAAAGGAACCCTAAACAAATTTTGTTCCAAAGCTTAGTTAGAGATGTTTAAGAATAAAAAGCAAGGTTGGTTGACACCACACATCTTGACCTTTATTAACAAAAGCACATAAAACTACTGGTCAAGTTTTATTAACCTTAAACACGCTACTCAACAGGTGCGTAACACCCGGGGTGTTACAGTCCGATACACCTCCACCCTACCGGTTGCCGCCACTACATCCGCGCTCCACCTCTACACCGTCGCTCACCGCTCTTGGATCCATCCTCTGCCTCGCCAAGCTTCGTCTTCAATGTCATCGTGCTTGTGTCACTGTATCCACCCCAAGCAAACATTCACGCATCTGAGTCCCTAGCCTGCGTGCGCCATCAGCCAATCGCAGGAGGTCGTGCCGCTAGTGAGGTTCCAGCTCGCGTCCGCCCCTACAGCACCATTTTCACTCCCTCCCCACGCGCGCTTGTGCCTCTGTCTCCACCATAGACCCGTGCTCGAGCCTCCATGCCCTCGGCCTACGCGCGTTGTCTGCCTATTGTCAGAGGTCATGCCCATGGTGAGACAGGAAGAAGAGAGATGGCGCAGCAATGGGTGCCCATCGCAACATGAGATGAGGGAGGGAGGATTTCAACTAAAACCTACCTTCACTAGGAAGAGATGATCCTATCCAAGCTAGCTAAATACTCAGTTAAACATGATGTGGACAAGTCAGCCTTCACTGGTACGAGTAAACCAAACACAAACCTCTTATATTGCTAAAACTAGGTTTGGGTTGGCCGGTCTTAGCTGGCTAGCTAGGCCAGATCTCAAACATGAATCAAACACACCTGAAGTGAAATGATCATCTATCTCTCAAAGTTGCATTAGGTAGGGTTTTTCTAGAGTCTTGCACTTAGATCTCTTCTGTAGCAATGAATAATAGCTCATTTTATCACAGTTATTCAATCAAAATTAGAAATAAATAAATTGACAATATTGTGCATACCACTCAATTAGAACTACCTATGAACACACATAAGCACGTCTTATATATCTCTATAAATGCTTATACAAAGCAAAAGTACAAACGCTCCTACTAAGTCGTATGTGCTCTAATGGCCTCATTCGCTTCGCTGAAAAAATAAGCCGAAACATTATTCCGGCTGATTTGTCGTTAGAGAAAAACACTGTTTCGGCTGAAAAAACAAGCTGAAAAAGACGGATTATAAGATAAGCGAACATGGCCAAAATATGTGAGTATTAGTTTCCACCGTACCGGAAGAAATAAATCTCTAAATTGTACAGCTGATTGTTGTGTCATATAGTAGCATAAGAATATATACAAGGAAAATTACATATTTGAGACCAGAGGAAACATGCCAAACTAACGGTAGCTTAAGAGTGATTTGATCATGTAAACAGTCTGCCAATTGCTGAGGCTAACGAGTGACAGTGATCAACTAGACTATCTGGAAAGATCTAGCTAGGGTGACATCAGGGATCACGCACTATGCAGGTCATGCTCTCTCACCTAAGTTATATCGCAAAGAATAAAATAGAAGTTCTGTCCCCTAAGAATTATCGTAAAGCTACGCTGGTTTGCCAACGCGCCGGCAAGTCTGTTTTCCCGTCCGATGTCTTCGAGTGCAACTTGCAGGACAACAAGCATTAAAACCAACCAGCTGATCGATCTGAGGCTTAACATTTAGGACGCAGAGCTAGGAGCTAGCCAAGAGCCTAATACAACACAGGTAGCCATGGAACCGGACGCCGATGAGGTGGTGTTCGATGCCCCGGGTTACTTCTGTATGTACAAGAGCGGCAAGGTAGATCGTGTCAGCCAACCGGTTGTGGCCGCGGGCGTCGACGATACAAGCGGCGTCTCCTCTAAGGACATCGTCCTCGACGCCGACACCGGCCTCTCCGTGCGCCTCTTCCTTCCCAAGCGCCAAGGACCTTCCGGCAAGAAGCTGCCCGTCCTCGTATACTTCCACGGCGGCGGGTTCCTCATTGGGTCCGCGAAGTTCGCCGTGTACCACAACTACCTCACCTCCCTTGCGTCCGCGGGCGGCGTCCTCGCAGTGTCCGTCGACTACCGCCTGGCGCCCGAGCACCAGCTCCCCGCGGCCTACAACGACTGCTGGGCCGCGCTCCAGTGGGCGGCGTCCGCGCAGGACGACTGGATCGCCGAGCACGGCGACGCGGGCCGCGTCTTCGTCGCTGGCGACAGCGCGGGCGGCAACATCGTCCACAACGTGCTGATGAAGGCGTCGTCGTCTGCGGACAACGGCGGCGCGCCGAGGATCGAGGGCGCGGTCTTTCTCCACGCCTTCTTCGGCGGCAGCACGGCTATCGATGGGGAGCCGGAGCGCGCGGTCGAGATAGCGGAGAAGGTGTGGACGTTCGCGTGCCGCGACGCGGCCGACGGCGCGGACGATCCCTGGATCAACCCGACCGCGCCGGGCGCGCCCGCGCTGGAGCGCCTCGGGTGCGAGCGGGTGCTGGTGTGCGCCGCGGAGAAGGACTGGCTGGCGGGGAGGGACCGTGCGTACTACGAGGCCCTGGCGGCCAGCGCGTGGCCCGGGAGCGCGGAGTGGCTCGAGTCCAGCGGCGAGGAGCACGTCTTCTTCCTGATGAAGCCCGAGTGCGGCAACGCCAAGCGGTTGATGGACCGCGTGGTGGCCTTCATTGCCGGGGCCTGACTTGCTCCGTGGGCCTTCAAAAATATTGGATTGTGATGCACAGGTTTTCTTTCACCGCCTCACAGGGGATTGAATAAGTACAATTCGTGGCCCGGGTACGATACATATATGGACACCTAAAATCATGCTCTGTCTTATCGTGCTTATGTTGGAATTATTTGCATATTCTGTGGACTCTTTTTTATGTTTACTAACCAGCATACCCGTGCGTTGCAACGGGAGAAGAAAAAAAAAATAAAAATTTATTAGAAATGACAACAGGAATCATTATCGACTTGGAGTTGACGCGTTCGGGCCCTATCTGATTTCGATAGGAAGACCGGATCATCGTAGCCCTCTTTTGTACTAAAAACTTACAAATGAGGTCAAACTAGCTTATTTTGCCTGCGTTTTTCCTCCATTTGTGCAGCTTCTTTGTTGTGCCAAACATGGACTAAATAGGATCAAGTAAGATGTTGTTACATCATTACATAACACATGTGTTGTCGTCACAGTCACTTGAACTTTTTCGTATTCTAGACCATCGATGTAGACTAACTATAATAGATACGAGAGCATCTACTAGCAAATAAAAAGCAAATGAGTCCATTGAAAGCTCAAATAGTTCGAATTTAGGCACCATAAGATAGAGCATGATTTTAGGGAAAAAAACTATAAAATTGGTTTTATAATTTTCTAAGCTAAAACAAATTTTCTCTAAATTTTGTAAGATTATACTAGATTTGAGTTTTTTTTACTAACATCAATTTTCTAGGGGGAAAAAAGATTGATGCCCCCTTTGGAATGGGAGATTTTTTTCTCGTTCCTGCGTTTTTTCTATGAAAATGAACTGATTCCTATGAATTTTCTATATAATTCGTATGAAATTCATGCGTTCCAAAGTGGTCCTCAAAGAGAAAGTTGGTCCAATTTATTACCAACCTAAACTATCAAAGAAGTTCAATTTAACCCCTTCGTGGTCTATATGCCATGTCAGATAACCAAAATCATCTAGGGTGTAAAAATAAACGGTTTTAAATCAAAAGTTAAAGAGGAGTTAAAAATGCAGTTTTATAAATAATTGGAGAAGATCAAATTGTCGTGAAGATTGAGAGGATCAAAAACAACTTTTTCCCATGAAGAGGATGAAGGCGAAGATTGCTGAACCGCTGGGCCAGGAGCAAATACAAACATCGTCAGGGTGGGCCCTACTCCTACATATTTTTGTGGTCCATTCAGCTGCTATCAGGCTGAGATAGTGTATCGCAATTTGCAACCTTGACATTTTTAGTTTCGCAGAAAAATCAGGCTGAAAAGTATTGTTCACTGATTTAATGTGAAAGAAAAACACTGTATCCATAATTGAGAGGATCAAAAACAACTTTTTCCCACGAAGAGGATGAAGGTGAAGATTGCTGGACCGCTGGGCCAGGAGCAAATACAAACATTGTCAGGGTGGGCCCTACTCCTACATATTTTTGTGGTCCATTCAGCTACTATCAGGCTGAGATAGTGTATCGCAATTCGCAACCTTGACATTTTTCGTTTCGCAGAAAAATCAGGTTGAAAAATATTATTTACTAATTTGTGGTGAGAGAAAAACACTATACTATAACTGATAAGCCCGGCTGATAAATTCAAACGAACAGAACCCTTAACGAAAAGTGACAGTGATATACCATCCCGAATACCGGCTGGAGTCCAGAGTTTGGAACTGCAAAACTAGACATTGGCCGGCAATCCTCACGTCCGCCCACCTCCGCATGTGTGACTGAGTTGCAGGTGAGAGATTTTTTTTTCTAGGTGTTCCTTTTCTTTTGGACTCACAACAACTTGACATGGAGCTATCTAGGTAAAAGCAAATTTGTTTACATCATCAATTGATTAAAACTTAAAAGGCCATGCTCCCTCGGTCATAAAAAAGACCATTGTTTTAGGAGTGAACCTAGACAAACACTTGTCTAGATTCATTTCTAAAACAATCGTCTTTTGGGGACCGAGGGAGCGATTTATAAATTGAATATCCAAATGAAATTTCATTCATGTTTCTTAGAATAAATTCTTCAAACAAGACCCTACTTGAGTATATTTAAATAAAGTTTTGTTAAAAAAATTCTCAAGAAGATTTACTAGATGTAACATTTTTATTTTTGTTAAGCATGCCAATGTTCTAGGTTCAGGAAATAGTGTTCTGCCTTCACAAGATTTTGGTTCAATAGAATAGTATTCCAGATTTAGGAGAATAAAATTCTAGGTTCATATGAAAATATTCCATACATTTGTGTCTAACAATAAAAAAGAATGTTTATAATATTTTATTTTGGAGGTTCTAGGTATTTGTTGGCTATCCGGAATGGCCTGACTGTAGGACGTCTAGTTGCGGCGATGGTGTGGCATGAGTGATAACCAAAACTCTTCAACTAGGTCTGTTTTTTATTTTTTTAGACGCAGATTATTGGAAATTGTTGATGATAGGTTATTGTTTTTCATTTCCAATATCAATAGAAAAGGTTTTAAAACCAAATTTTGGGCTTTATTTTTTAGATACTGTTGGAGATGCCTTTTATAGTGTGCTTCACCTTCTTGGGAAGTACTTCAAACTAAATGCGTTCTTACCGAAACCATGCAAACAGAGGGCTCTCAACTTTTTTTAATTGCCTGTGCCTGTGTAATACTTGATCAAAGTTAGAACAAGATTGACGTAAAAATACAGGCATGTGTAGTTATAATATGAACAATTGTATAATTATTACAATTTAGTAGTTCAGACTGAATAAACGAGGGAATTGCACAAGTATGATCTCCCTCAATTGAAAAACCAAATTTTTAGATTCCCCAACTTTTGAGACAAACCACGAGGTAGGTAAATCGGAATTTTGCGATAGTTCAAGGATCAATTAAACTTTATAAAAAATTATAGAGATATTTTTTCAAAAAATATCCAACATTTAAAAATATTAAAAATTGATTTAACCTTAGAAAATCCATAGAAGATTTGTTTTAACTCAGAAAATATGAAACCATTTTTGTATATTTTCAAAAATCATGATCTACATTTTTGTCCCTGGCTTAAAATTATTTGAATCTTATAAGATATCTTAAAATCTTAAATTGGCCAAATATGAAACGGAGGATGCAAGCCAATACAACTCCTTGCATGCACACAACATCGTGAATCACCGCACAACCTGCTGTGCAAATTGTAAACTACGTTTCCTCAACAACAACATCTTGCTTAATCATCAAGACATGCACGGGAAAATTCATGAAAAATAGTTCGAGTTGTGACGCACATTAACAACATATATGATCATGTGATTTAACTTTATCGCAGCATTGTCTTCTCTAGAGACATCACGATGATGACATGTGCAGACTCACTATAGACCATAAGTGGCAACCAGCGTGCAATTCTCACTCCTGCAAACCGACGCCTGTGACTTGACCGACGATATCCAAATGGACGCTACCGCTTCCTCGTTCATTTGCACCATCATAGGTTTGTGCACGTTGGACAAACATGATCGAGCAAGAAGGCAGTTTAGGCAGACTTGGGATGCCACACTTGATGCGCTTTCTAAAATCATGCTCAACACTATGACGCCGAGCTTTTGAAAAACATAGAACTTTTATGAAAAATATGAGAAGTCAAAAAATTCTATGAATTTTCTAATATTAAATCGGATTTTAGTAGTTTTACATGCATATTTATTTAAAAAAATATTGGCATATTTTTAAAAATATATATATTTACAATTTTTTTGATAAAGTCTAATTGAATCCTTGAATTATCTCGAAATCCTGAGTTACCTCTCTCATTGTTGATTTGTCGTGCACGTCAGCTGGAACCACTTTTAAAATCACTCCGCCAAGTAAATCGGACGGTTTCAAAAAGTTACAGTCTAAAATTCTAGTTTTGTGATTGCAGAAAGCAAATAGAACTTTCATGCAATCACGGTTAGTATGGTACATCGTATGCCTAACTCGCTAGGAGAAAAAGGTCGGGGATGACTAATCTCCCGCCTAAACCATGCTAAGCGAGGCGTGCCACCCATACACACTCATGTAGCCCGGTACTATATTTTTTTACGACTTTTGTCACCCACAGCGTTACGATGGCACATACACACTCATGTCGGACCCCGAGGCCATCGCCCATAAAAACGGAAGAAAAACGCAAGAAAAAAGACGGTCACATATTCACATGCGCAGATGCGCGCGCTCAATCAAATCATACCGCGCACTACCAAAAAAAAAAAGACCGCGAGGCCGAGGCCTCGCCGAGAGCCCGAGACGGACGCGCCACGTGACCGACCGCATGGCACCCCCGACCCTGATGAGTAAAAGCTGCGCGGCATCCGGTCCTGCCCGTCGCGTTGCGAATCACTCGCTGGTCGCGGACTCGCGGCCCAGTACCTGCCAAGGTACTGCCCCGTCGCGTTGCCATCGCACAGCGACGAGACCGCGAAATCACAGAGGCTCGCGCCCCCATGGACTGGACGTACCGGCCACTCCGCAGTACTCACGGCCGCCTCGCCGCAGCAAAAGCTCATGTACCGTCGCTGGAACGGGAGGAGCGAGTGACTGGAAAGGAGGTGTAGGCGGATTACCGGCAATTTCCCACGGAAATCCGTGTCCAGCGACTCGAGTGCCCGAAATCCTTTTTCTACCCAGGAAAGCTACTACTACATACGACTACCGCGCTGTACATGGGATATTCGGGCAAGTGCAACGCAAGCTCAAAAGTACTGGGAGCGTGCCGCGAACCAGTAAACACCCCATGTGAGCAGTCTTCTCCCTCCGCAAGCTTGGCTGCCGATCGAAAGCTGTCTTGCACCGGAACAGGATGCCGTGGTGGCCTGCACCGCATCCTTCCTGTCCTCTAATTTTGCCGTTCCTGTACGAGCTAGCCAGCTCCCAAATGCGAGCCAGGAGCGGTGCCGACCACGCGCGTTCTGTGGTCCCAGAACTATGCCGCGGCATGGCAGTGTGCGCAACCTTAATTAGGCGCTCGCGCACCG